AGGATGCGTATCTGGGTGGCGACCCCCCCCGGCGACCCCCCCCGGCGACCCCCCCCGGCGACCCCCCCCCCCCCCGGCGGGGAGGGTAGGGAGGGGCTTCGCCACGACTCAACTACGACGTTGCTCAATGTCGCTTTGGCTCGCGCGCTCAAGGAGACGGGGAACGACGAAGACGACGAGGGACAACGGAGACGGAGACGACGAGGACACGACGGAGACGACGACGACGACGACGACGACGACGACGACGGTGGTCCACGCAAGACGACGACACCGGGATGCGTCTTCCACACGCCGACAGGGTCGGCGGATTTTTCGGTGTTGCAGTTGTATTCAGAAGCCTCATCAAGAGTTGAGAGGCAAGTCGCCGTGCGGACTCAGGTGGACCCAGCTGGCGTGCGCGTGCTCTCTCGAGCTATGCAGATGCTATGCGGAGATCGTGGGGCAGGTCGAGCCTTCCTTGGAGACGATACCCTCAGGGGCAAGGCTGAGGCTGAGAGGAGGTCAACCACATATCGTCAAGGCGACGGGTACCACGACGCCGTTGAGGAGCCTTTGGTTGCAGTGCCGCTGGCACGTCTTGTTCTGCGGGAAGTGGGGACACCAGGAGCACAACAACATCCTGGAGCTGCGGACAGTGGTGGCCACTCTGAGGCACCTGAGCAGGACATCTCAGGCCTGGGGCCACAGGATTCTGATTTTCACGGACTCCTTGGTGTCGTTGGGCGCGCTGCAGAAGGGTCGTTCATCAGCGCAGGACGTGCTGCGCCCTTGCCGCATTGCGGGCGTCATCCAGATGATCTGCAGGATCAGAGGCTACTGCCGATGGGTCCCGTCGGAGCTCAACCTTGCGGACGGGCCGTCGAGGGGGCTGCCCATCGGCGCGGCGGAGGAGACGGTCGAGCTGCACGTGGCCCGAGGCGTCCCACAGCAACTACAGCGGCGCTTGCGTCAGCGGCAGGTCATCAAGACACCGGCGCTGGGTCGGCACATTTGTAGCCTTCGGGGTGCTGGTGGCGCAAGGGGGGGCCGTGGGGGATCTAGGCAGCCCGAGTCCACGTTCGACCAGAGCAAAGGGTACGAGTGTCCCGCCGCCGCTGGTCAAGAGAGGAGCGCGGGCTTGGGGCGAGGCGCAGCGTGACAGGCTGCTCTACGCGAATTGCTTGGTCATCCACGCCGTGGACGACGCGACCAACCTGGTCTACCAGAAGGCCGTGCGCGAGTTCTTGGTCGACGTCAAGAGGAACCAGTTGGACTTTGACACCTTCGAGGCGAGGGGCCAAGCGCTGGCGGACTACATCTCCGACATGTGCTACGTGCGGCAGCTGGGCTTCGGGCGAGCCAATGTGCTGTTCAACGGTTTCATGCGCGTGTTCCAGGACCACAGGGACCGGCTTTCGACATCGGCCAGGGCGCTGAAGTCGTGGCAGAAGTTGGGGCAGTTGGGCGAAGGCGCGCCTGTCCCCATGGAGGCGGTCGGCCTGGTCATCGGCAGGATGTTCCGCGCTGGTCGCCTGATCGAGGGGGCGGCGGTGCTCACGCAGCTGGGCGGCTGGCTCAGGGGGCAGGACTGGGGCCAGCTCAGGGCCGAGGACGTGTCCGAGGGACCTGGGGGCCAGCTGGCTTTCACCCTGGGCAGACGCGAGAGGGGGGAGAAGGTCAAGACGGGCTCGGACCAGGGCGTGGTGATCTCATGGCCAGTGACAGCGGCCGTTGTGCGCGCCCGGCTGCGGGGCTGCGCTCGCAGGGACCTCGTTTTCCCCGTCTCGCAGGGCAAGTTCGGGCGCGAGTGGCACAGGGCGCTGGACGACGAAGGACTTGCTGGCATGGGCCACCCGCGCGCCATGCGGCACTCGGGGGCAGCCAGCTTCGTGGCAGGAGGCGGCTGCCTGGAGGCTGCCCGCCGCAAGGGCAGGTGGCAGACGACGGCAGCGCTGGCGCGCTACACGAAGACCCACATGTTGATCAGCCAGCTGGGCAAGATGACTGACGGGCAGGTGCGCGCAGGCGTGAGCTTCTGGTCGGCGCCTGCTGAGGCGCTGATTGGATGGATCAAGGAGTCGCCCGCCGCTCAGACTCCACTGGCAGGGCATCTGCTGGAGGAGCTGGAGCGTGCGCGCGGCCAGGAGGTCGAGCTCCCGAGTTTTGACGGGGGACGGGTGCTGACGACAGGTCGCCCCAGCACCGCCTCTCGCACTCGACACAGGCGCAAGACAAGCGCCGCACGAGAGTCATGGTTTTGGACTTGACAGTACTATTTCATTGATTTGCGTGCGTGGCAATGCCCAGCCCTTTTGGCGGGTCAGAGGCCAGCACTCTCGTGTGTGTGTGTGTGTGTGTTGATTCTATTATCAGACCTATCTTTTGATATAGTCGGTGCGTGCCTGGAGGCAGGTTGACGTGTCCCCTGTCTTCCCCCGTCTTCCCTCAAAGTAAAGATCAGAACGACATTCGGACCGGGGCTGTTTATTAACAGGGGGGCTGGGGCACAACTAGATGAATAACCCTTTCCCTCCCTCCCTCAACTGTTGCAAGGCTGGTGTTTTGGCAAGTATGCCAGTCTCGACATCTTGGGGCTGGGACTGATGCGTTTCCGAGTTTCTCGCGGGCCCTGTGTGGCCTTGTGGCCAGGTCAGGCACCGCTCGAGGTTTGGGCCCAAGGTGGCTCGGCCACGCCTTCTAACACCTCGTGGGGGGACCTCCCCCTCTAGGCGCGCTCGCGGCACCTTCCTGGGCGCTCCTGCTGCTGCGCCGGATGTTCAGTGCCGTGTTTGAGTGTGCTTGTCGTTTCTGATTTTCTGTAGGGTTGTCGCTCCAGCTCCGCCTGACCCCCTTTGAAGGTCCCCCCAAAGCTCTCAGTGCAAAGCTGGCTAACTATAGAGGCGTTAATGTAAATTTGCCTTTTCGTCCGTTTGGCTTCGAGTGACGAATGCAAACCACGCGGCATGAACATGAGTTTTCGGGCGCCCGCGCGGGTTTGTCGGGTCGGTGCTGGACCCTCCCCCTGGCGCGCTGCTCCCAGCGCAGGTCCAAGATGCCCGCGCAGATGCCAGGACATTCAATTGTTATCCTGTCCTTTGTTCCTGCGTTGCTGACGTGTGCCAGGAAGGTCGTCTCAGGCAGCAGGCAGCGACCGCGTATCACAGTAAATATACGGGCTCGGGCTAGCGTTGTAGTTGCTGGCCTTACTGGTCCCGCCGGGCCATCGCGGTCGCCTGGCGCACCAGGCTTCCCCCGGCCGCAAGTTTTGCAGTTGCCGCCGACGCTGTTCTGGTTGTAATCGTTTTTGATGCCGCGGCACGGCGCTTGCCTGATTACGCACACTGGGGAGAAGCAGTGGGCACCCCGAGGAGTGCAATGAAAGTGGAGGGGTAGATTCTGCCAGGGGGGTATTATGTTTCGCAGGGGCGTTGGTGGTTCGTTGATCGCGTTCGGGGGTGAGATCGGTGCGCGTTGACGCCGTGCGCCAGAGGTGCACCGCACCTCCTGGCGCGGCGCGCCGACTAGGCGAGGGTGACCCCCTGCGGGGGTTCCCCCGAACGCACGGTGGGGACATACGATCAGGTTTTGTAGCTTGGCGCGTCTAAGCCGACATTCGTCGGGAAGGCACCCAGTTCCAAACCTTTTACTTTACGTGCTTACCGTGCCTATACACCACCCTTCGGGTGATAAGGACATTGTGGGGGGGAGGGGGGGAACCAACATCTGATTCAATCGATCTCACTATCGATCTCACTCAACGGGACACCACGGGACACCACGGGACACCTCGGGGCACCACGGGACACTTGTCGATCTCACTATCGATCTCACTATGGATCTCACTCAACGGGCCACCACGGGACACCACGGGCCACCACGGGACACCACGGGACACCGCGGGACACTTCTCGATCTCACTATCGGTTTCACTATCGATCTCACTATCGATCTCACTCAACGGGACACAATAGGACACCACGGGACACCATGGGACACCTCGGGAGACCACATCGATTTCATTATCGATCTCAGTATCGATATCCCTATCGATCTCATTCAACGGGACACCACGGGACACCACGGGACACCACGGGACCCCTGTCGATCTCACTATCGATGTCATGATCGATCTATCATTTTGGGACACCACGGGGCACCTCGGGGCACCACATCGATCTCAGTATCGATCTGTCTATCGACCCAACTATCGATTTTACTCAACGGGGCACCACGGGACACCACGGGACACTTGTCGATCTCACTATCGATCTCTTTTTCGGGGACACCACGGGACACCACGGGACACCTTGAGGCACCACGTCGATCCAAGTATCGATCTTTGTATCGACCTCACTATCGATCTCACTATCGATCTCACCATCGATCTCACTCAACGGGACACCACGGGCCACCACGGGACACCACGGGACACCGCAGGACACTGCGAGCCAACGCCGGACGGACGGTCGGACGGGCGGGCGGGGGAGAATCATTTGTCTTGACATCGCCCTAGCAACGGCGGGTTCATCCCTCTCGCGCGCCCACGCAGCTTCGCCTCGCCCGCACGCACGACACGAACGAAACGAAACGATTTCCTGGTTGGGCGTCTCCGTTCCACTGCGATCTCACCCCCAACTTTCGATGTGTGCACTGTCTGTGCTTTCAATTGATATTGGCACCAAATGTTTTCGAGTGTCTCTTGGATGCTGTTTTTTTTGAGTTCGGCGATGCCCCGGGTTATCGGGCTGGTCCGGCCCCTTCTCCCCCCCCTGGATGGCCTTACCTTGTCGGATTCGCAGGTCCGATGGGGATATTGACTACCATGTGGAGCTGCCCAAAACGAAGATGCCAATTAGGTTATCGGCCAGCTTCTCCCCCATTGCCCCCCCGCCAGACATACTGGGCAGTCGCCGAACGAGCTAAACGAGTATCTCACGTTGGCACTACATGGTTCCGAGGGCCTCTTGTCTCGCCTCGGCTCTTCCCTGCCGCCCCTGTCCTCTCCCGCGAGCCGCGAGGACGAGGGCGAGGACCTGCTGGCCGCGCAGGTGCCGGGCGGCGCCTCCAAGGAGCGCTGGCCTTGCGCCCGCGCCCGCTGCTCTCTTGGGCGGGGGGGGGGGCGTCGAGGGAAGAAGCACGGGGGCCATGGCCAGGATGTCGCGGGATCTCGTCGATGCCGACCTTGATCATGGTCCGTGTCGGCTGTCGCCGATTTCGCGAGGGTGATCCACGAGTTGACGCTGACCAAGATCGACACGACGCCTCCGTGCTCCGTCTTGCTCAGGGTCCCATCTTTCTTCCCCTCCAGGGCGAGGCCGGGATGGGGGGGGAAAGGGAGGAGGGTTCGTTTCCCAGACATGCTCTCGCTGTGAAGCAACACGACTGGAGGTTTTTGGCAACCCTCGGCCACTGGGGGTCCTCGCCAAGCCTGGGGTCCGTCGCTAAACGACTCGGGATGAAGACATTACTTGGGGAAATAATCGGCACTTCCGGGGATCCCATATTGAAAACATCAAGATTTCGGATGTTTGGGAAACGACAGCGCAAGAAGGCGTGAAGCCGACGTTCGGCGATGTCGTCGAGCCTATTGGGTGCAATCGATGCGGTCCAGAATATTGGGTGCAATCTGCGTGGTGCAAAACAGGGGGGGTGCAATATTTGTGGTGCGACCTGTGTGGTAGAACATGTTCATATATCTGTATCTATACCTATATATATATGTATGTGCACATCTACAGGTATATGTACATATGCTTATATGTGTGCAAGGTATGCGTTGCATGCTACCTGGTAACATCTGTGTGCTGCCATAGAGATGTGGTGCAGTCTGTGTCGTGCACTCTGTGGGGTGCGGCCTCGTGCCGGCCAGCGCCCGGGGCGGCGGCGAGGCGGCGACGGGCGCGCACCGGGGGAAGCTCGGGAGTGGCAGCCAGCTCGCCTCGGCCAGGGGCGAGGCGACGACGGGCGCCCACGGCGCGAACGCCAAGCACACCCAGGCGACGGCACGGAATCGGCGTAAGAACCCCTCAGTGCAAGCACTGTTCAGTTTTTTTTTTTTTTTTTTTGTTTTTGTAAAAAAAAAAACCGCGCGTATCTCTCGAGTCGGCGACGGCCCCCCACCCCCTCTGGCGGCGCTTCCACCCCAACGCGCTCCGCGCGCCAGGGGAGGGAAATCGCGCGCGGACCCAAGAATCCATGAGGGCCTCTGACTGTCTCTAGTCGTGCTTTACGTTCCCTATTTGCACTCTTTGATCCTGTTCGTCAGTCCCGCTGTCGGCCAGAGAGGGCCGTCCTTCCAGTGGTTCCTGCCGATAGGCGCATGCTGCCGACAAAAAGGCTCGTTGCCTGTGTGTCACTGCGACTCGTGGCCCGCGGCTGCTCTTGCCTTGTCTCACTTACCCTTGCTCCTGGATCTTTTCCCTTCGAGGTCGCTGCTCGATGCGTCGGCTGGGGATAGCCTCCGAGATATCCGATGGATTTGCTTTTCAATCCGCGGGTCCCAGGAATATCGGCCCCTGATCAAAGTGGTAGCTTCCCGTCCCTGGCTCCTGCGTTTGATGGCCTTGGGGCCCGACACCGGCGTGTGTATAAGCCAGGACCTCCGCTCCGGCCGAGCAAGCCAGCAGTCCAGGAGGAGGTGGGACGAGGACGAGGGCGGGGAGGGAAACGTGCACAAGGTGAATTCACACAGTACCTCGACACGGCTTCTTTCCATGCTCGGCGACGACAAAGCCGCAAGCGAGGACGAAGCGAGGACGGGGGGTGGCGAAGGAAAAACGCCGTGGGTCGCCGCTCGGGCGCGGATCCTCCGCGGTGCCGAGAGCGGCTGCCCTGCGTCCGCCTGTGAGCCCTGCGCGAGCCCGTCGCAGGGGCGGACGAGGCGAGCCCTCGCCACCACGGCCAGATCAGCCTCGGATGTCTGATCGGCGCCCACGAGCGACGAGCACACAGACCTGGAGCAGTGGGTGTGGCGCAGGTGGCTCAGCGGCGAGAGGCATGCATCAACTACTGCGGGTACTGTGGCACCTCTCCGCCCGGACCCGTCTGCGTGAGACCCAGTACTTCGGCTGGAAGCTCAAGATCTAAGGGGTCGAGGGTCTTCGGTGTTGTCGGCGCCTGGAGGCCGTTTTCGGGTCCCGGGGCAGTCAACGATCAGAGATGATAGATTGGCTCATGTGGACCCAAGGAGGAGTCCGGGACTGCTTTGGAGCAGACTTCACCGAACACGTCCAGATCCATGCCCTCGCGGTTTGATTACCGAGGTGCTATCCCATGGATGCACGATCCCATGGATACGCCCCACGAGGGGCATCCGCGCAAAGCCGCCCTGTATGCATGGGATCGCGGTCGGGGGGTCAAGACCGTCAGGCTGTGAACAGGGGTACGTCCCGCCCACGAAGCACGGGCCCAAAGGGAGGTCTCGAGTCCGATGTGGAGGCGTCGTCATCAGCGTCGTCGGCAGGTTCGCGCGGTCTCGACGTTGCGGCGACGCTGGCGCGGGCGTGTGAAATTCAGCGCCCTCGTGGGATCTCTTCGGGCCACAGGTCAGCAGTCCGCGGCGCGACCTCGATGAGCACGATGGGGCGGGGCGGCCGCTGGGGACCTCCGAGGGCGGAGCCTTTCGAGTCTGACCCGGTCTCGCGGTGGCAGAGCAGAGGCCTTGGGCCTGGGCCCATGTAGCCACAACTGACGTGACGGACAGTCTGCGTCCCCCAGTGCAAGTGGGGGGGAGAAAATAGAAACTAGAGGAGGAGGAGGAGGAGGAGGAGGAGGAGGAGGAGGAGGAGGAGGAGGAGGAGGAGGAGGAGGAGGAGGAGAGGAGGAGGAGGAGGAGGACGGGTGAGGAGGAGGGTAAGGAGGAGGGGTGAGGGAGAGGAAGAGGGGCAGGAGGAGGGGGAGGAGGAGGGAAGGAGAGGAGGAGGACGAGGAGGAGGAGGTGGACGAGGGAGGAGGAGGAGCCAGGAGGAGGAGGAGCCAGGAGGAGGAGGAGGAGGGGAGGAGGAGGAGAGGAGGAGGAGGAGGGAGGAGGGGAGGAGGAGGAGGAGGAGGGAGGAGGAGGGACACCTGAGTGTTCCCGGAGCGAGTCCGCCCGCCGACCCGGGGCGCTGAGACAACCGCGCCTCCCCGCTGAGATATCGGATATCTCAGCGGATAATCCGCGTCTCTCCGCCTATCCGCAGCATCGGCTTTCCAGGTGGATTCAGAATGCACGGGCTGCGTCTCTATAGCCCGCCTGCCGTCGCGGCGGCTTTGGAGACACGAGAGCCCGTCGAGCCAGGTAGGAGGAGAAGGAGGGAGGAGGGAGGAGGGAGGAGGAGGAGGTGGGAGGAGGGAGGACGGAGGAGGGAGGCCGGGAGGATGGAGGCTGGGATGAGGGAGGGGAGGGAGGAGGGAGGAGGGAGGGAGAGAAGGGAGGGATGAGGATGAGGATGAGGATGAGGAGGAGGAGGAGGAGAGGAGGAGGAGGAGGAGGAGGAGGGAGGGAGGAGGGGGGTGGGAGGAGGAAAGGATTGAGGAGGGAGGAGGGAGGAGAGAGGAGGAGGATGGAGGAGGAGGAGGAGGAGGAGGAGGAGAGGAGGAGGGAGGAGGAGGAGGAGGAGGAGGGAGGAGGAGGAGGAGAGGAGGAGGAGGAGGAGGAGGAGGAGGAGGAGGAGGAGGAGGAGGGAGGAGGAGGAGGAGGAGGGAGGAGGAGGAGGAGGAGGAGGAGGAGGGGAGGAGGAGAGGAGGAGGAGGAGGAGGAGGAGGAGGAGAGGAGGAGGGAGGAGGAGGAGGAGGGGTGGGTGGGTTGGGCGGGGCGGGGCGGGGCGGGGCGGGGCGGGGCGGGGCGGGGCGGGGCGGGGCGGGGGGAAGATGGGAGTGCGGGGGTGCGTGATGGTGCTGCTGCTGATGATGATGCTGCTGATGCTGATGCTGATGCTGATGCTGATGCTGCTGATGATGATGATGATGATGCTGATGATGATGATGATGGTGATGATGATGATGATGATGATGATGCTGATGATGATGATGATGCTGATGATGATGATGATGATGCTGATTGTGATGGTGATGGTGATGGTGATTGTGATGGTGATGATGATGCTGATGATGATGGTGATGATGACGATGACGATGACGACCATCACCATGATGATGACGATTATGCTGATGCTGATGCTGATGCTGATGCTGATGATTCTGCTGATACTTATGCTGATACGGATGCTGATGATGCTGCTGCTGCTGATGATGATGATGATGATGATGATGATGATGATGGTGATGGTGATGGGGATGGCGATGACGGCCATAACCATGATGATGACGATGATGCTGATGCTGATGCTGATGATGCTGCTGATACTAATGCTGATGCGGATGCTGATGATGCTGTTGCTGCTGGTTATTATGATGATGATGCTGATGATGATGAGGATCGTGATGGGGATGGCGATGGGGATGGGGATGGTGATGACGACGTCTACGATGATGATACGGATGATCCTGATAGAAAGGTTGAGGGTGAGGATGATGACGGTGATGGTGATGATGCTGATGATGACGATGATGATGAAGATGATATTGATCACGATGTGGATGATTGTGGTATTGGTGATGGTGGCGATGGTGGCGATGGTGGTGACTACGCGGACGATTATGATGACTGTGATGCTGAAGATGATGACTACAATGGCGCAGATAATGCTGCTGATGATGGGGATAAGCGCAGCGCTGGCCCGATTTGGCAGATACGTTCTAAGTGGGAGTTCGTAGCGGTAGGCCCATGCTGGCCAATGCTTGGGGCAGACATATTTTCGGGCGCACCGGCCTATCGTCGATGAGAGGCTGGTCGTTGATGTAGCTCGCTCATCGTCCTCCTCCTCTCCCCATCGTTGTGCAAGCTTGTTCTCTAGCAAGCAGCGCACGCTCGCCCGAGGTTGTGAGCCTTGTCTTCTCTCTACTTGATAACCGCCCGCATGTCAGGCCCTACCAGTACGCGTGTCTCACACTATTTCTGATGCGCGCGCTTGCGGAGTTTGCCGTCGTTGGGTTGTCCGATCTCCCAAGATCAGGAGGAAAAGAAACACACAGACACAATTAATCGTCGATTCTCCTAAACATACGGGAATTATGGGAAGTGGGGGAGAAGACAAAAACCCAGAAAATATGGGGAATCTTTTTATTTGTGTGTATTTTTTTGTGTGTTCCAGGGCCCCTTCACAAGAACATGTGGACGATGGCGATGGGATGGTGCTGATGTTGATGACTGCAGTGGCGCTGGCGACGACGACGATTCAGGAGGCTTGCGCCATTCCGCCGACCCCCCAGAAGAGGAAAGAAGTCCATCGGTGAGGCCTTTTGGGGCCTCCTTGGGAGCCCCTGGGGGCCTCTTTTTGGGCCTCTTGGGCGTCTCTTGTGGCGCAGCAGGGGCACATCACCGGGGACCAGCGAGCAAAGACATCTGAAGAAGGGGAGTCGGGTGGTGCGGAAGGACTGCGCAGAGAAAGGATGCACGCCGATATCTTGCGAGGCATCTGGATGCTCGGGCCCACGTGGCAAGAGCCTACCTCGGAGCGTTTCTCTTTAGCTCGGCAGCAATTCTCCTTTCATCGCTCGGCAAGGAAAGTTGAAGTGCACCGAATGTCGCACCCTGTGCAGTGGAGGTTGGGTGGGCGCGGTGCACTGTGGTGGCGTGGCGTGAAGCTTAGGCAGCGCGTAGGAAAGATAATGTGTCAGCTTGCTTCTACGCTTGTGGTGGGCGCGTTCGCGGGCCTGCCGAGGTCAAAGGTTTGCGGGTCTGCTGGGCAGTGCCCATGAGTACAGGAAGCGCATGGATTTGCGCGCAAAAATGGGAAGATAGTGAGGAGGAGCACGAGGAGGATGAGGAGGAAGAGGAGGAGGAGGAGGAGGACGAGGAGGAGGAGGAGGAGGGGGATGGGGGGGGAGGAGGCGACGAAGCAGGAAAGGAGGACGACGAGGAGCATGCACAGGATATGGCAGAAGAGGGGGCCAAGGAGGAAGGGGCGACACGGCGCGACGGTCGGGCTTGGGCTAGCGCGAGCGATACCTTTTGAGTCGTGGTGCGGGGTCGGTAACCTGAAAAGGCAAGCGGCGAACATAATGGACACATTTGTGACAATTCAGCGCGTGTTTTGGAGAAGTCCCGCGTCGCCGCTTGTGGGTTGCCTGGTTCTTTGTTGGGGAAGCGTCTGGGGCGCTTCTTGGAGGCATGTCGGAGTATCTTCGGATGCCTCTCAGCAGCTTCTTGGAGTGTGCGTCGAGGCATCCACTTGCTCTTTGGTACTTCTGGGGGGGCCCTTGGAAGGCCCTCGGGGCCCCGTGGGGGCGGCAAGGGAGGCCCCTGGGGGGCTCCTGGGGCCATCTCGGGGGGAACGGCTCGACATGTCAGTTCGGATTCCCCTCTTGGGGCTTCTTTTTGGGCTCTCTTGGGCCGTCCTGGGAGTCCCTCGGGCCGGGGTGGGCCTCTCTTGGGTTTTGTAGGCCGTCTTCGGGGCCCCCCGGGGACGTCTTGGGGCCCTCGTGGGCCGTATTGGGGTGAACTTGGGGCGATCTGGGGAGGCCCTTGGTCCGTCTTGGGCGCCCTCAAGACGCAAAAGGCGAGTTTGATGAGCATGCACGTTTCTTCAGGCTTTCGTATGGGGTGGAGCACTACTGGGGTGTCCTTGAGGCCACGTGGGCGGTCTGGAAGACATCTTGGTTTGTTTTGATTTTTCTTCGGCGTAATGGAGGCCAACTGCGGTGGCATCTTGGGTGTCTTGGAAGGCACGGGGTGCGTTGGGGGGCCTGGGGACCCACTCACAGGAACCTGAGGACACCCCTCAACCCACCCTAACCCCCCTCGAACGCGAATGTGGACCCCGGGGGAGGGGAAAGGGGAGGGGGACAGCCAACTGTTCCACACGCGCTTTCAATCCTGGCAAGCAGGGGGCGTCGGATTATGACGGTGTTGATGATTCTGATGCTGTTGATGGCCATGATACTGCTAATGGGGCCGTTGATGGTAATGCGTGAGACGTGCTGTGGGTACGACAGTGATGATGATGGCGGCGACGATGTCGATGGCTGGCGACGATTCATGGTTATGATGATGGCGATGGTGATGGTTGTGATGACACTGGTGATGGTGATGCTGATGGTGGTTGTGATGATGGTGGTGATAACGATGATGGCGGTCACGACGACGGCGGCGGCGATAATGAGGATGGCGCCGACGCTAATGAAGGTGCCGCCGTTTCTGCTGCTGCTGGTGATGATTGTGGTGATGCTGGTGGTGTTGGTGATGATGGCGGTGCTGATAATCATGGGGGTGGCGGAAATGCGATGATGGTGCTGATGATGCTGCTGCTGCTGATGATGATGATGATGATGATGATGATGATGATGCTGATGATGATACTGCTGATGATGCTGATGCTGATGCTCATGCTGATGATGATGCTGGTGATGCTGATGCTGCTGGTGATGATGCTGCTGCTGCTGATGATGATACTGCTGATGATGCTGATGCTGATGAT